AGCCGCTAACGGCCTCTGGAGGGCACTGCTGAGCCAAGCTGCGTGTCTGGCAGTGGGGAGTCAGCCCCGGCTGGCACCACGGGGGTTGTGAGACGGTTACAAACGCTCCGGCCTGCACAACCTCGCAGGGCGGCTCTGCTAGGTCAACGGCTGCTCCAGCCCCGGCAGGCGGGCTGCTCGGCTTAGACCCGGGGCTCAGCCCAAGGCAGCTGATCCAGGTTCGGAGACTCACTGCTCCCTGCCCAGAGGTACCTGCACTGGCTGCAGGCCGAGTAATGCCCCGGGACGGCGCCGGAGGCAAGGAGTGAACCAGGCCCTGAGGGGTTCAGACTGCGGTTCCTAAGGCCAGGGGGCTGGAAGGTGCCCGAGGGCGACCAGCTGAGCCGGGGCAGGGGGTGTCAGTGTAACAGGCGGGGGGTTGCCGTCAGAGCCACAGAAGACCGGGATTCCACCTGCACTGGCTGCAGGCCGAGTAATGCCCCGGGACGGCGCCGGAGGCAAGGAGTGAACCAGGCCCTGAGGGGTTCAGACTGCGGTTCCTAAGGCCAGGGGGCTGGAAGGTGCCCGAGGGCGACCAGCTGAGCCGGGGCAGGGGGTGTCAGTGTAACAGGCGGGGGGTTGCCGTCAGAGCCACAGAAGACCGGGATTCCAGAGCCCAACCACCACGGGGCTGCAGGGGAAGGCGCTTGGAGGACGGCCCGGCTGTGGCCAGGCGGAGGAGGCTGGTGAGGTAGGAGCAGGGAGGCGCCGGCGCCAGGTTCAGGAGCACAGGCCAGGTGCAGCACTTCCTCCCCGTCACTAAATGCCCCACTGGCACTGCCCTGGGGGGCGGCAGCGGCTGGGCCCTGTGGTGCAGCTGCTGCTTGCTCAGCAGCCCGCGGCGCATGGTGGGCCCTGGCAGGGCTGCCCCCAGGACACGGCTGGAACTGCAAGCCAGGCCCGGCTCGAGGAAGGAAGCCACATCTCGGCTTTCAGCAGCCAGGGCCCCTTTATGCCCCGCAGGCCTGGCTGGGAGAGGAGCTACCCAGGGACAGAGCTGGAGCCCAGCACTGGGGATTAGAGACACCTGCTGCCAGGCCCCCAGGAACGCACACGGCCAGCGTCAGAGCTGGGGGAGCCCCCGGCTCCCGGGCCAGGAGTGCCTCGTGCCAAGGCATGAGCGGGCGGCCAGGCCGGAGGCAGAGCAGCACCACAGCTAGCACCATGTGGAAGCCACCGCGGAGTCCTGGGGCACCCCAAAGACTAACCGCCGCGCTTGGGCGTCAGCTTCTGCGGAGATGGTGCCCACCCAGAGGCGGGGCTGGCCGCAGCGCAGGCAGGTTGCGCCCAGCGGGCACTCACTGCTAGGAGGTGCTCTCCTCCTCCCGCTCGCTGTTCCAGTCCCTCAGGCCTGCCGGCAGGGAGGTGTCTTCATCCAAGCTCCCGGTGCCCTCTACAAACTCCTCGTAGGAGGATTTCTCCGCAAAGGGCCTGGGGCCCAGCAACTCGACCATGTCCGCCTTCTCCAGCACCTCCTTCTCCAGCAGACGCCTCCCGACCTGCGGGGAAAAGAGAACCCTCACAGCCCGGTTCCTCAGCCCCGGTTCTGCACGGGGAAGGGCGCGCTCCCCGCGGCAGGGTGACAGACCCCCGCACCTCCCCGCTCCCAGCAAGCAGGGGGAGAGCTTCATTATCAGTGGGAAATAGGTCAATGGGGGGATGATAAGAGTTACTATAGAGAACTTTCTGGGTGTCTGGCTGGTGAGTCTTGCCCACATGCTCAGGGTTTAGCTGGTCGCCATATTTGGGGTCAGGAAGGAATTTTCCTCCAGGGTAGATTGGCAGAGGCCCTGGAGGTTTTTCGCCTTCCTCTGTAGCATGGGGTACAGATCACAGCTGGAGGATTCTCTGCATCTTGGGGCCTTCAAAGTATTTGAAGGCTTCAATATCTGAGATCTAGGTGAGAGGATTATTCTAGGAGGGGTGGGTGAGATTCTGTGGCCTGCACTGTGCAGGGGGTCGGCTAGATGATCAGAATGGTCCCTTCTGAACTTAAAGTCTATGAGTCTATGCATCCTGCTGGGTCCCCACACTGGCTCCTGCTGGGGCCTGTTCACCAATGTTCCCTCTAATCTTTTCCATCCGTGTGCAGAATAAATTTTGTTCTGTGCGCTGAGGCATGTGTGAATGTGCACCACCACAAGGAACACAGACCCAGCTCTGGGCTCTGCCAATCAACGGGGCGCCACTGGGCTGCCTCGTGAGCGGCCGCCCGAGTGCCGTTCTCGTACCTTCTCCACCTGGGCGTGACACCGCGTCAGGAGCTCCAGGGTTCTCTCATATGCGGAGCTGATGAGGCGCCGGACCTCCTCGTCTATCAGCTGGGCCGTTGTCTCGCTGTACGGCCTCTCCGTGAGCTGCTCGCCCAGCCTGTCGCTCATCCCGAACTGGACGATCTGCAAGAAAGCCGCCCCGCTGAGCCGGCTCGCCCCCGGGGGGGGAGCCGAGCCCTTCCCACGCCCGGGGTGGACACCTGGCAGCGCAGTGCCCGTGCTGGGGGCATTACCTGGGCGTAGGCGCTCTGCGTCACCTTCCTCAGGTCGTCCTGTGCGCCCGTGGTGATGCGCCCGAAGAACAGCTGCTCGGCCACCCTCCCGCCCAGCATCATGCACATGCGGTCGAAGAGCTGCTCCTTGGTGTACAGGTACTGCTCCCGGGGCAGGTACTGAGCGTAGCCCAGGCCCCGCCCCCGCGGGATGATGGACACCTGCGAGGGACAAGGCAGCTGGTGGCAGGCTGGGACCAGGCTCCTGGATTCCCGAGTGGGCCTGCCAGAGGGAATGCTGGGAAAGTGCCCTCGCCCCCCCCTGTCCAGCGTTTATCCGGAGACACCGGATCTGGCCACAAGGGCCCAGGAGCCAACACATGGCGGGGGCGCCGG